TATATTTTTGGATGGTCTTTCTATCTTCAGGCGCATTTGACCAATGCTCCTCCTGTTACGTAACTGGCTGTTACATAACAAAAGCTTCGTCAGGGGACAGAGACTGTCTTGCAGTTTGCAAGTATGTGTCTGAAATGAGGTCTACTGTGCTTGGAAATAAAACTATCGTCTTCTTCATAAATTATTATTGTTGCGATCCTACTCCCACGTGGACATCCGGTCCACCCCGGCCTCCAACCGGCGTGAATGGGAGTACTTATTATTTTAAAACACAAACGATTTTTATTAACACTATTATTTCTACGATTGCTGGCTCATTATAAAACGGCGGACATCCACAACACAAAATGAATTCCGTCTCCAACAATGGCGTCCGAGTACCTTCTTTGTGGACGGTCGCTATCGGCACGTCCGTGTCCACCACCATATCGGAAACGGAACTCCAAAAAACTATCTGTATAGAATAAACGACTTCAAATCATAGAAACTGTATAAATCAGGGAACTGACGAAGGATAGTGATGCGTCATCAAATGACGAATCTGGACTTCGACTCTCGTTTATATAGCTATATCTTTTTTCGAATTTCATCATCATCATCATCATCATCATATCAAATTGTTTGACAATATTTTCATTGATGGTCATAGTGCCGCCATATTGAATTGGGATTACACTGAATTGAAATTATACGCCGTTATTTTTATTAAACACTTTATGTTAGCTTCATCTGTATGCATGTATGTATATTTGTTTCTAACTCTCAAGCTCGAGATCTGTGTTTGACACAATTACCGACATTATCTTCTTATCTTGATCTATTCGCGGGTAGATGGCGCTGTACGTAACCTCCTTGATATATCGACATTATTGCTTGATCTATTCGCGGGAAGATGGCGCTGTACGTTCCCTCCTTGGTTTATCGACATTATTGCTTGATCTATTCGCGGGCAAATGGCGCTGTACGAAAATATCAATGGTCATTTCTCTAAACAATATAAGGCTGATTGATCCCAAAGTTTAGATAAAATAAGTGTTGTCGTAGAGGATCCACGTGACGAACCAATCCAAAAAGGATCGTTTTGGTTCCGGTAAAGCAAAAAAGAACAGACCTCAAAACGTGATAATGTCTACGGATCGTTCAAATCGTGGGGCACCCACTTTGAAATTCTTCACTTTTCCAATAGTTTGAAACCATCAAAAACCGCATGGGAGCTGTGGCCTAGTTCTTTCGCCATCTAACTCACCGTTTGTGATAGGTCAGTCGCCAACAGGGTCCTCAAATCCGCGTCCTGGATTACTATAGATCAACAAGTTCGGGGCTCATCTTCGAAGGTAAAATCTTCGGAACGAAATTTTGCAAACCAACGTCGAACAGTGCATTCCTTGCCAAACGCCTGGTTAATTTTTCGGGTTGTTTTGATAGCGCTTCGGTTCTATTTGAATTCGTAGAGAAGAATTGGCCGGAAAATCACCCAGTGATATCAAATAGTAATAAGCTGAAAAGAGGTAAAAATTAAAGTTAGGTAAAAATGAACAGCATCAATGTATAGAGTACAAAATTCTTTACCGATCAGTATATAAAACAATACAGTACAATAAATATTCATTGAGATGAGAAGCTACAAAAACACATGGCACTAAAACGGATAAAACTTTTGGTACAACCTAATAACATTATTTCAAGGTTCCAACTGTACTGAATTTACTACACAAGTATTAAAAAGACAACACTGATTCTAGGTACTGAGAGATCTCCAGCATCGCCTGACAGACACTCTGCCCTTCCAAGAACCCTTGGAGGGCGTCAAACAGCACTACGGCATGAACACGAACCTTCTCAAGACGGTCGTCGAATTCTGGAGGAACAACTACAGATGGCGGGACCAGGAGAAGTTCCTCAACAAGTTCCCCCAGTTCAAAGTGGGCATTCAAGGGCTGAATATCCATTACATTCACGTCAAACCTGAGAAAACTAAAGGTGTAAAAGTAAGACCTCTGCTGCTACTGCATGGTTGGCCAGGGTCGGTCAGGGAGTTCTACGAAATCATCCCCTTGTTGACTACCCCTCAGAAGGGGAGAGATATTGTGTTCGAAGTTATAGTTCCGTCTCTACCAGGTGAGAATATTTTTTAGCTGTAGTATAGTCAACGTTTTTTCACACATGCGTCATCACATTGTGCAAACGGAATAAATCGACAATGTAATGAAACACTTTTTTTGTGTGTCACTGAAAAGCAACTATAAGTTTGGGACAATTTTAAGGAATTATTCAGTACTTTATCAANAAAAAGCGTGGGCGCTTTGTGCCATATTTTTTGTATATCAAGCGCCCTTTGCTTTTTTCACAATAATACTAGTATTTTTTGTTCGTTATTGTTTAAAGCTTTTGAGTTCGATGTTCTTCAAAAGCGTGTTTTTTAGTTTTTAAAACAATATTTAATGATAGAAACAGTCACTTGTGTTATAACGTTGAAAAAATAATTTTATAGTATATGCTTAGAAAAATATACAGGGTACTCCAGTTGAACTGGTATAGGTTTTATCATTCATGCTAATAATTACAAATTTTTTAACATTGTATCACTGTATTTGAAAAGTTTTTCGATTGTTTTGTTGGTAGAAATATTGTTTTCAATGGATTATGTCTTTTTTTCGAATATCAAATTATTTATCTCACAAATGGCGCTGTTTACAATGATTTTGTTGTCATTGGGTTTAGAAATGCCGTGAATTTGACGTGTTTATAAGAATTTTGATCTGCTCATTTCATTGACGTCTCAAATTAATGTTCCCAGCGTGCTTACATTTGGAAAACGTATATCTTGACCGATTGGGAAGCTGTTGTGAATATTTGTACATTCAGCACAAAGTATTGTAACTCCTGTCAAAAATTCAATTTTTGACCTCTGTAAACCAGATACTCCTCTCGAACATGTTCTATGGATTATTACTAGTGCTATTATAGGTTATGGTTTTTCTGATGCTGCTGTTCGCCCCGGCCTAAATGCTGCACATATGGGAATAATAATGAAGAATTTAATGCAGAAGTTAGGGTTTGACAAGTATTACGTCCAGGGAGGAGATTGGGGAGCTCTTATCGTTCAGCAAATGAGTGTATTGTTCCCAGAGAAGCTCCTTGGGGTGCACTCCAATATGTGTGTGGTGAATACGGCTTTATCTAACCTCAAGCTCTTCCTCTACAGCTTCTATCCCTCTGCTATCATTGACGAGAAACTCCAGCACTTGGTGTATCCCATGACGGATAAATGGACTTACATTATTTTGGAAACCGGTTACTTACATCTTCAAGCTACTAAACCCGATACCATAGGTGAGTAATACATTTTTCCAACGATAATGCTTCAATATATTTTAATTTATACCCTTTCCTAACGTTTCAGAATAAAAAAAAATCTATAANCTTTTTCATAATAAGCAAAATATCAAAATATGCCAAAAAAAATATTAAAATATCAAAATATCAAAAAAATATCAAAACTATAAAGAATTTGAATACCAAATTGAAAGATAAAAACGGATACTACCAAAAAAGTCAAATGTGATTTATAACATTCATTGTACAATTGTAATTGGGATTATATTGAAACAACATCTAGAATTCTTGAAGATAGAATAACTTCACATAAAAGTGATATAAAGTTTAATAAGAAATCATGTGCATTAGCGCAACATTCTATAGAAACAGGACATAAATCAAATTACTCTAATATCAAAGTTTTACATACAGAAAAAAATATATCCAAACGCCTTTACCTTGAAATGGTTGAAATTAATAAGTTCTCTGATTGTTTGAATGAAATAACTGACATTGATAATCTCAGCAGTATATACAGTAACTTATTGGAACTAAGTTGACAGTTGATAGTCAACTAGACTGTCTAATTGAAAAACTTCAGGAAATCGGATTAGCCGTCCACAAGTAATTAGCAGTTTTATTTTCATTTTGAGAATCTGCAAACGAACGATAAATATAGTTTAAACTTTCAAATAGTTTACTTTTCACTTCTTGACACTAATAAAGTTATTTTACAAATGAAAAACTCACATTATGAAATGTTCATGGGGTACCTCCGTTGTAAGTACCTCTTTCCGTATCATGAGTTCTGGAATGAACTGCGAACACTTCAGATGTCACGAATCCCTTCAAAAACGTTTAGAGGCGTCATATCATGTGATTTAGTGAGCTCTTCTTAGGCTAACGACAATACGTTTATTTCTCGTACTTGATTCTTGAGTAATTTCAACAATTAGATCTTTTTCACTATAGTTTATTTTCCAAAATCAAAACTTGTCTGGAGAAAAACAAAATATGTGAGAATCATTACTTGTTTAGATAATCGACGAATCCAAATGAGTTTTCAACTGATGTTACGTTTTAGCAAGACATACTGGTTCTAAAGAAACTAGATGACAGTTATACATACCGGTGGATAGGTATACGTTCTCCCTCAGAATGACCCGCTAGATTACCTGATATGACGTCCTTAGATTTTCTTGTGGAATCTAGAGTTTAGGTTACACAGTCTATTCCAGAGCTTATGGTTAGAACGAAAGGTTCTCCTAATGACATTACTCTACAAATATTCCATAATGTAAGAAACGAATTTGTGACCAGACATCACTGTAATCAACCAGTGAATGGCGAACATTTTAAACATTTATTATAATCAACTGGAGAGATAATTTTCTTGATATTATGATAGTAATCGTCTGTGTTCAGATCTTTGAGAAGAATCTACAACTGCCAATTACTTAGAAACAGCTGATCCAGAGTCCAAAAATTAAAAAATATTCGTTGTGGATAACAACAACGAGTTATCACACGACCCTCCTTTATATTTGAAAAAAGTTGGTAGCGCCCATTCAGTGACTAATGATCTGTTTAAAAAAATCTGTTCAAAATCTGTTTTTCCATTAATCAGCTGTCGCACCCCTACGAACGACAACCCTCAGAAGTAGAAACTTGTGCCAACTGAGGATTAACGAGGTCTTACCTTCTAACGTGTGATTCCTAACACGGGTTGGACACGGGTTGCAAGTGTAAATCGATCGTTCAGACTAGGGGTTGATTCACCGACCAATACGGCAGTCAATTCGAGTGAGTGAACAAAGCACCCACGTCGAACCGCCTGGCCGCAACACCATTTGTTTTTCTCTTTCAGAAATGACTAAAAATTATTTTTTGCGTATTTTTCTTCTATTTTGATATCTTGGCCCATTTAAAACTTAACAGAGATGGAACTATTCACGTCTGCAATGTATATAATGTTGTATCTTATCAGTATCTTATCAGTCAATGGGTTTGTTTATTTCATACTCAACTATTCGTTCTGTAGATAAAAAGTATTTGTGTAAACAACAACTTGCAAGAATATATTCGGATGTTATCTGTTGTTGATTTGTTGTAACTTAAAGACATTTAGAACTGTTTCCCTTAAAAAAAATTAAAAACTCGTATTTCAAAAATGAAATATAAAACGATTATATATTCGATAATTGTGACACTTGTTCACTGAGTTGTAAGAGTTATTATTAAATTTGAGATATTATTCTTCTTTTTCATCTCTTGACAAAATGTCTTATTTATACGTCAGAACACATTTAGTTTTCCATATATGAGGTATCAAGTATAAAATTATTCTTTCAATATCTCAGAACACCAAAAACAAACTTTTCACTTCAGGTAATACGACTGAGTAGTTTCGTTAATTTTTACTAAGGTAACAGGTCCATTTGATTGAGTGAAAAACACTCTATAAATATATTAACTGAATAAGAATCTCACAATACAGCTTCTCAATAACCTTTCACGATTATTTGTAAATAGTACACTTGTGTCTTGAGTTATTTCAACAATTGATTACTGTTTACAATAGTTTATTTTCCAAAATTAAAGCTTGTCTGTTTGTGCAAAGAAAAAAATTTGATCGGCTAGAAAAAGTAGCAATAATTTGATTTCATGTACTTATTCGTAGAAAAAATGTATGAGAATCATTATTTGTCGTTAGGTGTCGCCCTACGAGATAGTCCTGTGGGCTTGGCAGCTTATATCCTCGAAAAGTTCACCACATGGACGAATCCAGCATGGAAGGACCTTGACGATGGGGGACTCACCAAGAAATATACCTTGACAAAGCTCCTGGACAACGTTATGATATACTGGGTGACTAGATCTATAACGACATCCATGCGGCTTTATTCGGAGAGCTTTTCTAAAGAAACCATGAGTTTGCAAATAGATAAGTGAGTTGAATCAAAAGTATACACTCAATATAGTTCACTATCAGCTAGGATTCTTGAATGAAGAAGCGGGGCTACTTTTTTTCAAAGGTGACTTTTTTATTCATGGTGATTCTGGGATATTTATGAAATTGTCTATTCATGTGGAATTCTGTTGCTTCACATATGCATCATACTGAATGCCTAGTTTTTGTTTGATTTCCATTTTCTCTTTGTCGCCATTGGCCAGTTTTGCAGTATTAAGATTATACTCAGTCCTTAAACTAGTAGTCCTCAAAATACCTTTCACCCTTCACCTTCCACCTTTCATTTTGATTTTTTCTGTGTCCTCTGTCAGCTACCTACCTACCTTTTCATCTCTTCGATTACTTTGTTCAGAACTGAAAGAAGAAATAATGAACTTAGATTGTTCATTCGTTCTATTTATGTTCTATTCATTCATTTGTTTCAATTTTTTTTCATCAATCTCAATATAAATGTGGCCTTATTGACCTGCGTTAGTGAATTGTACGAGCGCTGTTGAAAAAATGAGGTGAATTTTGATTTTTCTCCAAGAATATTCATTTATTCATCAATTTCTATTTTGCTCCCTTCGAAGTAGTCATCCTCAGTTATAATACACTTGTGCTAGCGATTTTTTCAATCCTCGAAGCAGTTCTGATGTGCACTTTTTGGTGTGTCCTTGTGGACCTTCCAACAACTCCCCTTTGATAATATAGTAAGGGAGCTAACTAATTTTCTTATTCAATAATTATTTCTGCTCATATAAGAATCACAATGATTCAAATAACAGGGTGATAATTGGAAATAGTTCTGAATACTACTTACTCACATACAGTGTGTTTTACTTCTCATGGAAACACCCCCGTATCTTCCGTAATATTTGAGTTGGAACGATGAAACTCTCAGAACTGATGGAGATGCTCAAAATGCACCTACCACCTGAATGGAGTTGGCCAAAGTGATATACACTGTCCACCACTCGCGATGGAACACTCCATTTTTACGGTAAAACATATTAGGGGGCAAAATAGGCTCAAAATTCCTTCAGATTCCTGATCAGGACTACCAACTTACTACCCAAATTAAACACATTGAAAACACAAAAATTGGGGAGAAAGTCTCAGTATGGTGTGTCCATACTTTTCAGCGATACTCTCAAGGCCATACACTTTTTAAATGCTTTTGTCTGTAAAACTTCAAGTAGTTGATTTTTTGTATAGTAATCTTCAAAATACAAATTGTTATCCATTAAAAAACATTTTGTATTTCATCTTTTCTCGAATTTTTATTCGGTACTTTGATGAGCTGTCGCGAATGAAAGGAAGCGTTGTCAAGAACTATTACACTATTCGCATCCAAATTTGGATGCGAAACCATTCCTCGAAAATATTAGCTTCCATGTTCTTATCATAGTCAACATTACAGTCCTCAAATTTTTTCCATATAATTTCAAAGAATTCGGAACACATCCTTCACTTCCTCTGCAATACACAATTATTAGTTGCGATTCTTTGTTTGCAGGCATGTTGGGCGTACACATTATCGAACCTCGAGTCCACCCTTTCTTAACTGTGTCGTGAGTGTCATACCAACTTTTATCCAAATAGATAATTTGCCGTTGTTCTTTTCTATATTTAGTTATTTGTTCTAAGTATTCGTTACGCAGTTCCACTATTCTTCTGATTTCCATAACTGCTTGAATTTTTTTAATTATTTCAAATCTAAATCATAATTTCTTTATCCAATTCTGAAGAATTTTATCACAGCAGCTCACGTTATGACCGGAAGTATTCAATTTCTTCCGTATGATTTCAGTTGTAGGAATCTCATTGCTTCTGTAACAGTCATATATTGTTTCTTTAAAGGATTTTACTAGACGAACATCTAAAGGTTTTGGTAATCCTGAAAAACATCGCGTCTTGCGTTCATAAAGTTTGTTTTTGACTATTTTACGTACAGTTGAGAAAGGAATTTTGGTCAAATCTGATGTTGTTTGTAATAGTTTGTTTCCCTCGAAACCAAACTCAATATATAGATTCTCATATACATTGAAACATACTCTCTGTGTTTCAATATATTCAAATGCATCTGAATATTATTCACTGGTATCTCTTTTTCACATTGTTCACCATCGCTATTGGAATCACTACACTGGACAAAGTCAAAAAAAAAGTGTGAACTATCGAACTGATTCTGTCAATGTATTTTGAACATGTAATGATGAAAAAGGATCAATGCAAGTATTTTGTCATGGATACCTATTTTATATAAATTCCATAGTAATGTTTGAGATGTATTTCCCAGTGGCTTCAAATTATCCAAAGTGGTGCCTATTTAAAAAAAAAATGATAACCAAGACCCTCAAAATTACAGACTCATTTCTATAATCTATATCTTTGGCAAAGTAGTCAAAATCTTTCCAAAAAAAACCCGGTCAAGTGTCTATTTCGAAAAATTCAATATTCTTCATTAACACCAATTTAGTTTTCGTGCAGGTAGATCAACAGTTTACACTCTGTGTGTCAAGCTGTCGCTGCGATCATGAAAGGACTCAAAGAAGGTAAACATATTGCTTTAATTTTATGTGATCTCTTGATAGCTTTTGATTGTGTCTCTCATGACCCACCCATCGAAAAAACTGGAATTTTATGGTATAAGAAATCCTGCGCTTTTTCTCATTCGTTCATATTTGACTGGTGGGAAACAATATGCATCTTCAAAGAGCAGCAAATCGAAAATACAGAAATATCCTATGTTCTTCCACAGGGGTCTGTCTTGGAGCCACTCTTATTCATCATATATATTAATGACCTGTTCTTCTACATCCTCTCAAGGAGTTGTCCTCCTAGGTCATCGTCCATCCTGTCCTTTCCAGGAAGGTGGACAGGTCTCTGGGAGACATCTCCTTTATATCGGCAGGGGTAGGACAAGACTCGCCGAACACACACTCTTTTACTGACGATAATTACGGACATTCGCATAGGTTCTTTGAGAATTGTGAAATATTTTTTGATGAGGTACGTAGGCACAAAGTTATAAACATTTATTTTTAATTGGAATTCTGGATTATTACTCATACGGTTAACCAAGATCTTGGTCTAGGGCACAGAATAGAAAACTCTTTCAAGAGTATAATATAAAAAACGAAAACAACACTGAAAATAATAGTAGCTCAGTTAGTAGGGGAGACCGGGGTTGGAAGTCACATTTTTTGTCTTTTGCATTTTTAGTGTCCCTTTTTATAAATTATATCAATAGATAGTGTTTTATACTCTAATGAAAAGAAATATTCTTGTTTTCTGGAACATCATCCATTATTTCTATTGTTCCTATTGATCAATCAAAAAAGAAGCGGGAAGAGGGCCGTGACGTCAAGTACACTGTTTTTCAATTTAAAATTTCTATCAAGTGAACTATAAACCAAAAATCATGAAACAAGACCATTTTGTTACAACTTCGGTGTGAAAGATTCGACCTTCTTGCTCGTTTCATTACGAATATACTGTGATGGATATTGCAGATTTTGCTTTTTAATACATAACATTGTCAATTAGTTCAACTTTTGATTCTATTTCTCAGTTATTCATTCATTGCCAAACGCCTGGTTAATTTTTTGAGGTGTTTCGGCAGCGCTCCGGTTCTATTAGAATTCGTAGAGAAAAATTGGCCGAACATCGCCTAATGACGTCATTTACTAATAAGTTGAGACAAACAATTTGAAATTTAGAAAAAAAATGAACAGCATTACAAAATTCTCCTTCGGCAGAATAATTATTTTTTGAGTTATGGAGCTACAAAAGCACATGATATTAAATCGGACAAAACTCTTAAAACAACCTTATTTTGAGGTTCCCAATGTATTGAATTTAGTACAAAAGTACTAAAACGACAGCACTGGTTCTAGGTACTGAGAGATCTCCAGCATCGCCTGATAGACACTCTGCCCTTCCAAGAACCCTTGGAAGGTGCCAAGCAGCACTACGGCATACACACGAACCTTCTCAAGACGGTCGTCGAATTCTGGAGGAACAACTACAGATGGCGTGATCGGAATCGATGTGGTCTTATGTAATAGTCAGATAAATCTAATAATTAAAATATTATTTCAACAAGCTGTATGGTATACTATTAGGTATTGGTCGACAATTGTTATTCACAATATTATTATGTTCACTCATTTCTACACTCTCATAGGCATCTAGATGCCTGTTGTTGTTAACTTGTCGAACTAATCTCAATGAACTGAAGTCTATGGAATGGTTTTGTTGCAAAATATGATGGGCGACTGCTGATTTTTCAGGTCTTCCATATTTTAAGTGTGCTAAGTGTTCCTTATATCTTATTTTCATAGAACTTTTTGTCTGTCCATAATATTTTGCATCGATTACGATTCTTCGTAACAATACCTTCATTTTTGACACTTGAGTCTTGGAGATATTTCAACGATTGAATCCTGTTTACAGTACCTTATTTTCTGAAATCAAAGCTTGTCTGTTTGTGAGAGAGGCAAGAAACAGTAGCATATGCAAAACTTTGTTTTCATATACTCATTTGTAGAACAACAAAATGTGTTAGAATAATTTTTTGCCGTCAGGTGTCGCCCTACGAGATAGTCCTGTGGGCTTGGCAGCTTATATCCTGGAGAAGTTCACCACATGGACGAATCCAGCATGGAAGGACCTGCTCGATGGAGGACTCACTTAGAAATATACCTTGACAAAACTCCTTGACAACGTTACTGGGTGACTAGATCTATAACGAGATCTATGCGGCTTCATTTGGTTTTCTAAAGAAACTAGTAGTTTGCAAATAGATAAGTAAGTTTAATCGAAAGTATACACTCAATATAGTTCACTATCAGCTAGGATTCTCAAATGATGGGGTAGGATTACTTTATTTTTTAAGGGCACATTTTTCATTTATGGTGATTTATAAATATTCATATTTATGAATATTCATCATTTTGAATGCCTAATTTTTGTTCATCATATATTAATCCCCATTGTCTCTTAATGTATTGGCC